GGCATTCTGCCTGCCTTAGGTCTAGAGCATCAAATCCCCAGAGCTAAAATCAAAATGAAAGAAACAAGTCCTGATAGCCAACTGTTAGGAAAGGGCTCCTTATTCAGAAAGTTATTTATTAAAATAAGTCTAAAAAGAAGGGCAGCTACTGAACTTGTCTTCCATAAAATGTCAAATTCTTCCAAATAGCTTTAGTGCTTTATAAAGGCGTTTTGTTATATTAATACTCCTTGATGTTTATTCAATATAAATGTTAAGAGGAAAAGAGATTTTCCTCAGTGATTCATCCTTTAAGGAAATTATTTTCAGGGATAAAATTAAGATATTTGATGCATTTATTGGCAGCTACAAGGAGAGAGATAGTCAGGTATCTGAAGCTCTCCTTACCAGTCCCTGACCACCCCCACCCCCACCCCCAGCGGGGCACTCTTCTTTGCAAAACACTCTGGTTCCAGTCTTTGAATAAAGCCACTTTGACAGCCATCACACTACACTTTACAGAAGGCTAATGTCTCTCTTCCCCACTTGTAATATGCACAGAAAATGTGTTTTTAAAGGAAAAAACCCATACAATTTGTTTACAAAGCTGTTAGAATTTATCTTTCTCAGAGGGAAGTGAATCCAAATACCAATGAGAAAGAAATCTACTCTAAAAGGGAGGTGACTATGCAACCAAATCTTATAGAGAATAAAGAAGTGAATATGGCACAGTAAGACTGGATTAATATATTTTCTTTGGTAACTATACCAACATGTGTTATGGTTTTTCCTTCTTTCTAACATTATATAAATAGATTCCTTTAAACCTCAATAGGGAAGAGGCACCCACTATAAAAAACTTGGATAATGAGCGTACAGTTTTTCAAAACCATAGAAATTATGTCATAATGTCAAGATTCTGATAAATTGGGACTAATACACACAGATCTGGTTAGCATGCAGTTAGTAAATAAGAAGCTCAAGAACAGCGCCTCCGTACTCTGGAGATAAGATTAACATTGGAAGTTATCCATTAGTAAAATCAAAGCAAAACAGCTAAGATAGCTTGTCAGATAAAAGCAGGAAGAAGAAACAGAATCTATTAAGTCTTGCCAATGTGGAAAAGATACAGCCCAGTTAATGTTATAGACACCTATAAAAATGAATGTACCAACAGATGGTGTCCAGGAAGTCCAAAGGACCCAGATTGTTCCAGAGTATTTCTAGCACTGTTTGAGGAAGAGGGTGCTTTACTGGACGCCATAGGTTCCTATAGTTCAGTGACACTGCTTATCAAGATCAGAGAGTCAACTCTTCTTTGTTATCATCTGCTCAAAATTTCCCATTTATAATTTGGCTACCCATATAGATTTTCCTAAAAAGTGAGGGAATGTGATGATCATCTTCGTAGAAGGAATTGATCTATACTCTAACACTGACTTAGGCATCAGAGACTTGGGTCAGGTACCTGGCTCTGCCCCTAAGTGTTGTTACTGCAGCAGTCACACACATGCCTGATCAAGAGGGTTCATGTGAAGTTTCTGGCTCTGAGAGATTAAAGTCAAGATGAGGTACATTCTGTCCTAGGAAATCCTGCCTAAATGGTTCGCACCTCCCTCTCACTATTTTGATATAGAAGACCCTTCAGGATCACAACAGGGTCTCAATTTGCTTTTAGATACATCCTCTGGGATTAGAAATTGCTTATAAAGCAGGAGCCAACCTAGTGGCGCAGCGGTTAACTTTGCACATTCTGCTTCTCGGCGGCCTGGGGTTCGCCGGTTCGGATCCTGGGTGCAGACATGGCACCACTTGGCAAAAGCCATGCTGTGGTAGGCGCCCCATGTATAAAGTGGAGGAAGATGAGCATGTATGTTAGCTCAGGGCCAGTCTTCCTCAGCAAAAAGAGGAGGATTGGCAGTAGTTAGCTCAGGGCTAATCTTCCTCAAAAAAAAAAAAAAGAAAGAAAGAAATTGCTCTAAAGCAGAAGCGATAGGAACTGAACTGAATCAACACTGTCTCCATGACAAAACTGAGGGGTTTCTTTGAAAAAAACTAAACTCTAATATAATTTATTGCTCTCCTAACAAGAGAGGAAGGCAAAAGAGGCCTTTTCAATCAATCAAATATTCAGTTATCTGTAATAAATATTTATTACATTCTTAAATCTTAACTAATACCTTTGTAATAACCATAACCAGGTCAGCTGGGGTCCGTTTATGATTATCTCAACAACTTGTGACTAAGAGTCATTAGAATACATTATTTAATTCTCTAACAAACTAATTTTTAAAAATAAAAGTTAAGAAAACCTTTGACATCTTTTCAATTTATTTTAGGTTTTAAAATGAGATAAACAATCAGACACATGACAAAGACAGCAATTTTGGTAATTGCTGGATGATGCAGACACCTGTGTAGTTGGGCCTGTACAGGAATTTTTATTAGGTTGATAGAAAACTAGAATTGAAATCAGTTGCTGAGTTTCAACCAATTTAAATGAGTTACTTGACCCACAAGCTATGTAACCCTAAATTTCTCAATGCAGCTGCCAGAAATCTACTTCCAAATGGAACAACAGATGGTTTTGAACAATACTGCACTATAGCAATTTTCAGTTATTCCAAAGTGTTTTTTCTCTTGCTAAAATTATAAAGATAATTGAGAAAATAATTTTCAGATTTTTCTGAAAGACTATGCTATTTTCAAAGAGAAAAAGCAAAGTTTAATATCCTAGTGTTTTTTTAGCATTATCTTTAGAAATTACTCTATTTGCTAGTTTTTATTTATCTGAAATAGCACATGGCAGTGTAACCTTGTCCTCATTTTAGAACTAACTTAATCACCCCACAGTGCCTGCAGGCACTTCAAAGTTTATCTTTCCATGGGATAATTTCCAGCTCATAGGGATGCATTCAGTTCAAAACTTTATCATTTGGGGAGGATTAGACAAATTGGCCAATTAAGCCTAATCTGAAAGATACTTTAAACCTATAAACCTTTGTGCATTAATTGAAAAACTGCTCATTCCCTCAAATACCATCATGAAGAAAATAAATATAGCCATTTCCAAATGAGGATAACCCCAAAGGAAGCTGAAACTTTCAGGTAAAATCGTGTCAAATTCCTTAAACTGTTCTTGGCAAATGACTCAGCTTCCTACTCAGGGATGTAACTGAGAATGTCTGTGGTTCCTCCTCCTCCTTCCCAGCCCATCTTCTCTCCAGTGCTGTGCAATGGAGTGTGGGCTCCAGATCTGGAACGCCTGGATTTAGTACTGGCACTGTCACTTACAACCCGAGTAGGACAATCTAAACTCTCTCAAGTGGAGGAAGACTGGCATAGATGTTAGCTCAGGGCTAATCTTCCTCAAGCAAAAGGAGGAAGATTGGTGACAGATGTTAGCTCAAGGCTAATCTTCCTCAGCAAAAAAAGTCCATATTAATTTCCTCCATTTTCTCACTATTTACTCTTTCCTTTTGCAGTTTCACTCCGGAAGCTGCTTTCTCAACAATCACCTAATCACTCAATCCAGCAGCCTTTTCTGTCCTCATATTTCTCAGCCTTCCTACAACTGATGGGACCTCCTTCCTTTTGGAAACTGTTCCATCTTGCTTTCTTTGCCACTCCCCTATCCTAAATCTTCCTCCCCGTTTAACTACCACTTCTCTCCGTTAGCTGGTTTCTTTTGCCACTTCTCCCATCTTAACCTATATTTACAAGAGTTCTGCCCTCAGTCTTTCATAGTTCTCTCACTCTCTCCCAACTGCTCCACTCCCATTATTTCACTACCATGGGACTCCCCCAAATCCCATGTTTTACTTGCAAGTTGCCACCGCTAGTCCTGCCCACCAGTCCCTCACCACTCTAGCCCTGCCTTTCCTGATCACTGAAGATGTCAATTCAGTTGTTCCACCAGCACCTCAAACTTACCACGTTCTAACCAAATCTACCAGTTTTCCTTCTTAATACTTCCACTTTTGTTAAGTAATACCACTATTGTTCTTTGAATTATCAAGGTCAAGACATCTGAATCATCTTTACTCTTCTCCCTCCCTAACAGCTCATAGCAGATAGCGTGTGGTTTTGTACATGGGCTCTGAAGCAGACTGCATGAGTTTGATCCTGACTCCCCCACTTCCTGCCGGTGTGACCTTGAGCAAGTCACTTGGCTTCTCTAGCTTCAGTGTGGCCTTCATAACACAGCTGTGCAGTTCACATGAGAAAATGTATGTAAGGGCATAGAAGGTTAGCATCTGGCAAGTTATGATGATGATAATGAAAAAGAAGCTCAGTGATCTGGTCACAACCATCTCCTCACATCTTACACAGACCTCATCCATGTTGTCTCAAGTAAATTTAAACTCAGAGGGCCAGCCTTGGTTGTAAATGTATAAGAGCCTCAAATTTGCATGATCTCAACCAAGTCAATCTCAATCAAGACCCAGAACATATGACATTCTACTTACATATCAATGTGCTTTCCTCTCCCAGCATACTAAATAAGAACGTAATGAGCATTCAGGAACTGACCCTATTTGAACCCAGTTTCAGATAACAGTCCATAAGCCGTATGGTCAGAAATTAAAGTCACTCTCAGTTCTTGAGAATGCAGAGTAAGTTATCAGTAACAAACTATAAAATCTTTGTTGTCATTACCGTAACAAAACAACCACCTTGCAGTCAGTCACCTGTCCATATTTCCCCCAGGAACTGGAAACTAAATTTAATTTTGGCCTAAGAAAGATGTGAAGATTACAACAATTACTGGAAAATGTCAGAATCATATAATGTATTACAAAGTCAATGTTATCTTTTGTATTATCAGTGACTTTGTAGTCCTGCAAGAAGGTAGAGATGATTAAATATTTTTATGAATGTCCATCTAGATATTTACCACATTTAATTAAATGTCTAGGGACCATTACTAGCAGAAGCAGTTATCCTGAGAAAAGCGTACTGACATATTGATTAGATATCTGTAGTTCGTCATTTTTATAAAGAAAGAGGGGGAGAATTACCGCTAAGGATTGGAGCTCTCTTGTTTCTTCCTCCGCGGCTGATGCATGATACGACAGAACCTAGGGTAAGAAAGAAGGAATACAGGTTATACAGAAAAGGACTACCAAATGCACACTACAACTTCAAGCTTGGGATTTTGCTCAAACTTCCTGGAGAGATAACGAGACTCCTCAGAATGTCAAATCTTGTTTGCTGCTTTCTTCAACAGAGAAAATCCCAGATTTCTATTCCATTGCTTCTTTCAGAAAACAAAAAGTCATACTCCCTATGTTCAAAGAAAACTCTTGTCACTTTTATTCTGATATTGTTGATATAACAAACACATTATTTCTAAGCCACACTATTGGCTTAAACTTGGCAGAAAATTTATGTTGTATTGCTTTTTTAAAAAATATACTGACTTCAGTTATTTTTACTTATGTGCAGAATTAAGAAAAACACCTTTGCATAAATTGACATTTTAACATTGACATTTGGATAGAAAGTAGTCTAGAAGGAGCTCTCAGATGAGGCTGTAACCACTGCAGAATTCATAAAGAAAAACTGCATGGCTGGGATATCAGGTCAAACAGGTTCAGGGATCCCTGTACACTCACAGGATTTAAGCGCTGGAAGAAGAATGTAAATCCACCCATTAACAGCTGAGGACACCTGGGCACAGCAGTTCCCGGGCCTTGGCAGCCAGTTCACACTCAGGGAGAGGACAAGAGGGCCTGGGACCCAGCTTTCAGCTCCTAATCTAGTACACTTTCCATCACCCTAGTAGAGTTAAAAAGGCAGGCTTACTATCTTCTTATAATTATAATATAATTGAGAATTATAATATATTATAATATAATTATATTATATATTATAATTGTAATATATAATATTTCTAACATAAATATGATTTTATATAAATATATAATTTTAATATAAATATAATATATAATTATAAAAATATATAATATAATATATGTTATAATATAATTGAGACTCATTAACTCCCGTTTTCAAAAGTGATAACTTCTAAATGATGGGATAATATTTTAGCTGTTCTTTTTAACCAAGGTAGTGGTTGTAATGAAAATGTCCTTCATTTTCAACAGAGACAACATAGATTTACTAAAAACCCCAAAAGTTTCTGAATCATTGATAAAGAGGTAATTCATTTTCAGACTTTAAATGGTGAGCCAAGTAATGCATTAGCCCGAACTAGTTTTCCTTGAACTGGTCTTTAAAATTTTAACAATTCAAAATCTAAAGCCACATGGTATTTATTGTCTACTATCTGGTGATCCAGACCACTTAGAGGGCGTGCTGCTTGGGATCTGTCTTCACATTCGAACCATTAATCACAAGGAAATCTCAGGAAACTTGGAGCTTCTGTCTTCTGCTCATGTGAAATTGACACATCACAGCTGCTAACCTGTTGTTGCTGAGACCACAGAGGTAGGGAAAAGCTCAGACTGGGACCAGGCATTAGGCTAATATTATAAATAAGTGCATGCAACATGGATAAATTAATAAAGGAACAACCTAACATTCTAAGTTCAAAAAAATTAATTTTATCACATACTGAAGATAAAAATAGCACCTTGCTCATAGGATTGTAAGGATTAATTCTGTTAATTCTTGTAAGCATCAGAAGAGAGTAAGCATTTGATAGAGGTTAGCTATTATTATTGTTGTTGTTTTATTGTTATTATAACGATATGGCTTCATATCGTTCATATATAATTCAGTTCAATATAATTCAGTGAAATAATTCACTGTTATAAAAAACCCCAAGGGCTTTGTGTTCTCAGCTTTTATCCAATGGGCTCATAAGGAAAGAGAATATTTTCAAGTATGAACCTGTGATCACAGAAACGACTTCCCATAATGACCTGAAACTGAAAACTGTTTACACTAAGTGAAAGCCGAATTACTCATAGCATATATTTAACGAAGTAGAGCTATAGTGTAAAACAGAAACAAATGTCAATCAGGAAGACATCCAGAGATTTTGAACAAAAGGATCCGATATCTGGTATTTGCTTCAGAATAACCCAATGGGAGGGGAAGAGAGTGCGGAGGAGTGAGTGAAGGCAGAGAAGGATGATACTGGCCAGGGGTCTGCAGTTTCTGAAGATGGCTGAGGAACGCATGGGGGCACATTAAGCTATTCTCTTCACTTTTGTATATGTTTGAAATTTTCCATAATAAAAAGCTTTTTTAAAAAAGAAACAATTTCTGATAGCTGGTTTAGATTCCATTTTTCAATGCAAAACCATGGGAACTGTAGAAAAAATTAGATAAAAAATTAGATAAAAAATTTTAGGGGCCGGCCCAGTGGCGCAGCGGTTAAGTTCACATGTTCCACTTCGGCGGCCCAGGATTCACTGGTTCGGATCCCGGGTGCAGATATGGCACCACTTGGCAAAAGCCATGCTATGGTAGGCGTCCCACATATAAAGTAGAGGAAGATGGGCACAGATATTAGCTCAGGGCCAGCCTTCCTCAGCAAAAAGAGGAGGATTGGCGGCAGTTAGCTCAGGGCTAATTCCTAAAAAAAAACCCAAAATTCATATACACACATATACATGTATATATGTATAGTGTTAAAACTATATGTATACATATGTATATGTGTGTATATAAATAATTTGAAATATCTATGTGTATGTGTGTGCATATATGCTTGAAACAGAGATTTCCCCTGGTTTATAATCCAAGGTCTCTTACCTTCTATAACATTATAGCAAAACTGTTAGTGTTATATATTCACCTTAGAAAGTAAAGGATACCTTCTTGGTTATTGGTAAATCTTGACGTAATAAGTGTAACATTCTAGCTTGTTAGTTTCTGTATTATTTATTAGGGATTTGAGGAAAAGTTATTACATCCCAAACACCAGTTCCCACTGATCTCAACAAGGTAAGAGTGGCCCAACATTCAGATGTATTTCACACCCACTATGATGACTAAGTAGAGACATCCATACTTTTTGAAGTCTCTTTCCCTGAATTGGTCTATGATGGAAGAAATTCCCATGTTATACGAAGCGAACATTTTCAAGGCAGTTAGGGGAATACATCTGGCGAGGGCTGGCCCCACCTGGGGAGGGAGCTGCCTGAGGTCAGTCCCCCAAGCCAGTGGTTCACTTGCTGCCTGCACATTCAGAATCACTTGGGGGAGCTTTGTAATAATAGAGATTCCCAGCCTCCACCCAAGATTTACTGAATCCAAATTATCAGAAGTGGGATCCATAAATCTGTAATTTGAAAGAGTTTCTGAGAGATTCTGAAGTGGCTAGCCCAGGAGTTTAAACTAGTCCTGGTTTTCATTGATTTTTTTTTTCCTTTTCATCACTTCTGATTCTGAGTGCTTACGGTTTCTGTTTGTGATTTTTAAAATGTGTGGATACCGCTGCTCTCGTGGAGAGATGGGGAGGCTCAGGCAGTGGGGAAGGGACAGACAGGCCACAGGGGCAACAGACATCTGTGAATGGATTATTACGGTCAAGGATTGCTCTCTGCTGAAAAACCAGACGCCTAAAGGGACAAACAGCCTGAGTTTTGATTTGGTCATATGACCTTTGACAAGTTTCTAAAATATTCTGGGTCTCAGTTTCCTTAGCTGTTTAAGTGATCATCTAAATCACATGATTCTCATGAGGATATGATGATACAACAAACAGACACCACCAGTTGTTAGGAGTGGAAGGTAAAAGCTGAGCATTTGGCTGTAGCCCGAGAAGTCCTGTAAGCTTCCGCCCACCTCTAATGTGACCATCTGCTTGGCCATGGCTCTCTCCACTGCTTCATACATCTGTGTGTTCTGGATCCCCAAGCCGCAAAAGATGACAAAAGCTTCCAGAAACTGTTCATCATTTCGGTTGAAAGGCTTAACCTTGCCAGTATTCTCCTCCATCTTATTAACAAGTTGGCAAACCCCTGTAATGATCCAAGAAATTGAGCAAATATTATTATCATAGTTTTTATTGACTTGAACACACACGCCCAAAAACCATCTTATACTTTTCTCTTAGAATGCTTGGCATCTCCAAAGAAGCAAACGAATCCTCATAAATACAAGCTAGAAAAGTACACTAAAATAATTTACATGAGAACTCGTTTCACATAGTCCTAAATATATGTTGCCACTGTTACAAAAATCCTAGAGTGCTATTTTCTTCCAGACTGGGTCACGAATTTTACATCACTTGAGTCCCCGAAGACAGTTTGTCCTTTGGAGACTAATTGGATTTTTGCACACTTGCCAAGAGAACAATTTTGATGCCCATCAGAATTTTGGGTCAGGCAGACTGCCTTTCCTTACTGAGAAAACAGAAGTTAAAAACACAGTTACATACTAAGTAGAATGTAGAAAACAGGCAATTCACAGACAGTCTCAAATTTCAAATAGGCACCTCTGTGTCCAGGAGAATCCTATTTGCAGACAGCTTGTGATACTGCAAATGACTGCAAATAAAAATGACTATTTACTTAGAAATAAAAGCAGAACTAATCCTTGAAGAAAATCATCACCTCCCAAGTCCTGGCCTCTCACACAAAGTCAAACATGGTCAATCTAAACGGAAGATTACGTCAACACTGTGATAAATCTTTATCCAACTAGTTGTTCTATGAGATTCTGAGCCTAGTGGTCTCTCTGTGAGGAGTTTGGTGACCTCCAACCTCTGGGCATAACAAAGGGTCATTGAAGTCCTTATCTCTTCTGTCTCTAAATAGGTGATAACAGACTTCCCTCAGGGGCCCACCATGGGGCAGGCATTGTGCTAAATGCTTTAGTAAACACATGACCTCTGGTCCTCCCAATTTACCCTGTGAGGTAGCTCTGACCATCCCCATTCTACAGATGAAGAAACTGAGTCTCAGAAAGGTTAATCAATTAGCGCGAGGCTACTGAGCTAGTATGCTTATGTCTAAAATTCACACCCCAGTTCAGCTTTGCCTCAAAACCCACTTTTGACCCCATGCTGCTGCTCTGTGCCCTTTACCTCAGTCAGATCATTGCTAGCAGTCTCGTTGGCACCTTGCTTGCCCACACTGTTGTTGCCCGTGCTGCCCCCCGCTGCCCTCTCTCCTGCTGTCCCAGTTGATCCCTACATCTCTTCCACAGTGAGCTCCTGGTGGCCTCCCACTTCCCGGGTGAGGCAGGCACATCTCTCTCCTGTGCCCTGAACCTTATCACTTGGTGTATCGTGTGGATTTTATTTCTGTTTCTCTCTCTGGATGGTACATATCTTGGGCTTAGAGATTTTATTTTTTCAGTTCCACTTCTTCAGCTAGCAAAATGCCTGGCATATAGCAGGAACTGAGAAAATGTTTACTGAATTAATGAAAGAATGCAGGACTGCAGCTGTGACCCCAACTATTTTCCCATGAAGACTATAGTCTGTTATCTCTTATTTTTCCTGGAGCACAAAAGGATTTCATTGAGTCCATGCTGATGTATGTTAAGTCCCTTTATGACCACGGATGTGCACTTTCTTTATTTTTAACACTACAAATGATCTGTACTCTCATTTTTGCTCTTTTCTGCTTGTTTGTGGAAGTTTTTTTACTTTAGACCGTAAAGATATCCTTATCTATCTGGATTAGTACTGCTGAGATTACTTCTCCAACACTTACTCCATTATCAAGAAAAACTTTAAACAAAACACAATGAATTTGGACACTACAAGTAAAAACCATGATTAAATGGCAGTCAGCCTTCACTATCTTAAAAGAACATGTCCCTTGTATGGTAAAAACAGGGTTATGTACTCCAACCTTTGTGAATCCCCCATTATAAATATGGAACTGTTTACATAGCTTCTGGCCATCTCCCAAACCACATTTTCTTGCGAGTCACGTGTTTCATGCCCCTATCCTCACATCACGGTGTAATTGCCTTTCAGTGTTCTCTCAAGTTTTCTCCTACGTGATGACCATTTTTCATGAGCAAGATTTTTCTCTTTATCATCTCATAAGAATTACCGCATGTATGAAAGTAAAAGATAACAAGGAGGGCTTGAGACCTGGCTACCTGGCAGTCGGCTAGGCTTCCAACCTGGTTAAGTAACTCTCTTCTGGACAGCAGTTCAAATCTATGCCTCAGTCAGAATGAATGAATATATTAAGAGGTATTAATTAACACCTCTGGAATTGACAGGTATTGAAATGGAATGTTAAGTGTACAAATATCAAGAGTTGGCTGTAACAACCACAGCTCAGAGCAGAACAGCTAAAGTGTGTCTATGTTACAATCCATCACGAAATATATAGATACAGATATAGACATATACACAGAGTTAAGCCCAGAGGAGGAAAAGGGTGAAGACAAATTACTTCTTTAGGCATACAATTTAATTCTCCTTTGAAAGCTGTCAAAGGACAGTCAGATTTATAAAGAATATTTATTTTTATATAATACTTATATAAAAGTATATAGCATTCATGATAAATCCCTCTGATTTCTTTGTTTCTTTCTTAAAAAACGATTTTATTTTTCCTTCTTCTCCCCAGAACCCCCCAGTACATGGTTGTATATTCTAGTTGTAGGTCCCTCTGGTTGTGCTATGTGGGATGCTGCCTCAGCATGGCTTGATGAGTAGTGCCATGTCTGAGCCCAAGATCCAAACCGGTGAAACCCTGGGCCACTGAAGCAGAGCGCGTGAACTTAACCACTCGGCCACGTGAACTTAACCACTCGGCCACAGGGCCGGCCCCCTGATTTCTTGATAAAATTTAATTCTATCAAACAAAAATACTCAAGTTAAAAAAAAAGGGCTTATGGGGGCCAGCCCGGTAGTGTAGCAGTTAAGTTCACACGTTCCAGTTCGGTGGCCTGGGGTTCGCCGGTTTGCATCCCGGGTGTGGACACAGCACCATTTGACAAGTCATGCTGTGGCAGGCATCCCACATATAAAGTAGAGGAAGATAGGCACAGATGTTAGCTCAGGGCTAGTCTTCCTCAGCAAAAAGAGGAGGATTGGCAGCAGATGTTAGCTCAGGGCTAATCTTCCTCAAAAAAAAAAAAAAAAGCTATGAAGAAGGTTTATAACAAACAAACAGGGTTCTGTGGGAAAGTTTAAAGCTTGGGCGCATTTACAGATAGAGTTTTCACAGCTTCTTCATTAGTGACTGAAAGAATGGATAAAGAGTACAACAAGGAAATTCAAAACTGGTGATTTGAGATGCCACATCTACTAGTAAGCCATACAAAATTAGAATTGCTTATATATAAAAACAAAGTAGTTAATGTAGAAGCAAAAAAACCAGCACCACTCAGTAGACACCAATTAATGTGTACAATCATAAAATAAAATATTTGAAAACATATTAGGAGAAAACCAAGACGTAGTACCGTTAGATAGTAAAATATAAGCATTACTTAATATTCTTAGAGTTCACAAAGTACCTGTGCAGACATCATTTCATGTGGTCATCATGGCAGTGCTGAGAGCTAAGCTGGCACTGAAGGCATCTCTCGAAATTATGCTGAAGGGACTAGATGGTTTCTAAAGGCACACAATTACGTTTCCTTTTCTATAATTCCAGGGATCAGATGTTGTTACTAACCACAGTTGCCTCCTGGCCTTTCAGCAGAGCAGGGAGTCAGCTCTGATATCCTGCTTGTAGTCTCGTGTTCTCTCGACCACACAAGATAGACTCGAAAATTAGCATCCTGTCTTGTTAATATGTAAGACTTGCCCTTATCACCTATCCTGCAAATATTTTTTTTTGCACTTGTCATTTGTCAATTATCTTAATTTGAGGAGGTTTTTTGCTGTAGAGTATCTTGCTTTTAAAAGAAGCTTCCCCATGTTAAGATTACATATAAACCTATATTTTCCCCTAGTACTTTTATAGATTCATTGTATCACATTTAATCTTCTAATTCAACTTAATTTTTTCCCCAAATTGCTACTGGATTCTTACAATACTTGAATAGTTACCTATTCTCTAATGGTTTGAATTGTCACCTTAAATCTTAAATTCATACTTATTTCAACTATTATGTACTTTTTTCACATTTTAATGTTTTTGAAATCAGTATGCATCCTCATCAATTGCTTGTCATAGTTTAATTGAAATCATTTTTTTCTTTCTTGGAACTACTAAAATGGTGTCTTTCAACCAATGTCACCTTAGAAACAATGAAATATACTCTATTACATACAATAACACAAATATTCTATATACCGGACATGGGTCTGCATTTAGACTTTCTATTGTGTTCCATCAATCGTACTATCTCCTCTTCTAGCACACATATGATACACACTTTTAATCATGTTACTTTTACAGCATTATTTTAATTTCTGATAGGGCAATTCTCCATCTCTCAACTGATTCCTTTTATATATTATTCTTCCAGATGAATTTTATAAACATTGGTGAAGAATTCCCCTTCCCCATGAAAAAAAAACTCGTATGAGGAGATGTATTAAAACTGATCTAATCTGGGGAAAACTGACATCTTACAAAATTCTTATCGTTAGGAAATGTTACGTCAGTTCACTTATTAAAGATTTTTAAGTTATACCGTGGCATGTTCTTCATATAGATGCTACGTATTTCTGGCTAAGTTTATTCCCTGTTAGTATTGTAAATGGGATTTTTCCATTATAATTTTCTAACAAATTTATGTTGGCATAATATTAAAGTTATTTCTCTTTAATAACTGACAACCAGGCACCTTTTAAGCTTCCTTTTTAGATAAGTCCTTTCAGCTGATTCTCTTGGGTTTTTCCATTTCACGATCAGATCATTTGTGAGTTATTTTGCCTCTTCCTTTTCTGTGTCTCACCTTATTTCATCCTCTCCTTTCATCTGATCACTTTGGTTAGAATTTCCTTTGGGCAATAGCTTTTTTTCTTCTTCTTCTTTTTATTTTTTGGTGAGGAAGACTGACTCCAAGCTAACATCTGCGCCAATCTTCCTCT